GAGCTGCTGTCGAACTTCGGGGCTGAAGGGCCCATGGTCGTGACTGGTCGAATCAGGTTCGTGGAAGTAGGCCATTACTAGATTTGCCGGACTTGAAGGAGATAGGAGCCACTGGTCGAAGATCAGGTCAATGGCCGCCGTCCAGTTGAGACTTCGGCTGAAAGGGAGAAGNGTTCGACTAAATGGGAGCAGGTGTCGAACTCGGTGGCGAATTCGCTGAATTCGAGGATCGGAGAAGTCCTCCTCCTCGGCCTCGTCCTGGTCCAGGATGCCGCCCGTGTAGGTGGAAATAGCGCCCGGCCACTGAAGGGCGCCGCTAAAGCGTCTTTCTGGTTCGTAGACCTGATTGGCAATGTACAGCGGAACGTTCCGGTCGTACATGTCCCACCAGAAGGCGCTGCCGTTGTCGACGCTGAACTTCTTCTCCTCCTCCTCTTCACTTGTTTCGGGATCGATGAAGATGTTGTTGACGACGCCGTGGAATGGTTGGTAGAGCCCGGTGGCGATTGAGTGGTGGTTGGGAAAGGTCTTTGAGGGAAAGGTGGGCCGCATGTGCCCGGTGACCCCGGTCGCCGCCAGGCTGTACAGAGTGGGCGTCACCGAGGCGGAGAGGGCGTCAGCGCGGAAGCCGTCGAAGGAGAAGATTAGTAGGCGGGAAAGAGGAGATGATTTTTGTTGGGATTTTGCTGATTTATGAGGAGGAGGTAAAGAGGAGACAAATAAAAGTAGAAAAGACGTTTTCAAGATCATCATCTTTTTTGTTTGCAAACTACTTTCTTTTCAAACCCAAAAAAGGAAGTCAATAACTAAGGTTGCAACTTTTATATTTCGAGTTGAAACACATTTCGAACTAATTTTGCCTTTTTTGCAAAAATTAGTTTTTATTCATGATATAACAGTAAATGTGTGTGTGTGTGTTTTCAATTTATTGTAAAGAACTAACTAAAAAACCGCTCAAATGAACTTTTTCCAGTACTTTTTCCTTTCTTCGGGAAAAGGTTTCCAGCTAACGATAGTTTTTCTTCTTTTTATTTTTTGGTCGCCAGAGCTTCTCGCCGTCAACAGCAGACGGCGCATTCAGTGCCGTTTGTCATTTTTTGTGTCATCACAGCTTCTGCTTTTGTTTTCGTACATTTGCATTACAGTGAAGAGATGATGAAGATGAAGATGAAAATGAAGACTTCTGCAACAAAAAGAACTGTGACCATCTTTTACACCAAACTCTAACTCTAAACTGTGTTCCCAGCACCCGAATTACTGTCCTGCCCTTGACCTTCATTTCATCCTGG